AAGGCAATGGCAAACCTTCTCTGGACAAATCTTGCCAAGAAAACCCCAGAGCAGGGCCACCATAAGTAAGAAATGACTTGAAGACACATAACAACAACAACAGCAGGGCTCGGCTTGCCATGTTGACCATGTAGTAGCCTGAATGGATGTGTGCAGGCTGACCAAAGCATTTGTATGATCCTTCCTTGCCCCCCTCCCATGCACTTTGCTCTCAAAAGGTGCATCTACACTGTAGAAATAATGCACTTTGACACCACCTGTTGCTCTATCCTATAATAAATAAATTTTATTTATATACCACCCTGTGGCGAGCCAATCCGGGCAGTGAACAACAATAAAATAGTTACAACTTAAAACAGTATAATTCCCTCCTTCCACCCTTAAAAAATTATTAAATCACATCACAATGCTTGGATGTGTAGTTTTACAAGGTCCTTAAGCCTTCTCTGCAATTGTATTGCCCATCACCATATACGGATGAGAGAGCTGGACAGTGAAGACAGCAGATAAGAAGAAAATCAATTCATTTGAGATAATGTGGTGCTGGAGAAGAGTGCTGAGGATACCATGGATAGCCAAAAAGACAAATAAATGGGATCAAGCCTGAACTCTCCCTGGAAGCCAAGATGACTATATTGAGGCTGGCGTATTTTGGCCACATCATGAGAAGGCACGGATCACTAGAAAAAATAATAATACTGGGGAAAGTAGAAGAGAAAGAGAGGAAGACCACACACCAGATGGATAGACTCAGTCAGGGAGGTCACAGGTCTGAATTTGCAGGACCTAAGCAAAGAAATGGGGGACAGGAGGTCTTGAAGAGGTCTCATCCACAGGGTTGCCATGAGTCTAGGCCGACTTGTAGACAGTTAACAACAACAACAACCAAAGAGTGCTGGCAAAACTACAGTTGTCAGAATTCAGTAGGATGGAGCCATGGTAGTTAAAGAAGTGTTAAACTGCATTATTTCTACAGTGTACATGCACCCAAAGCAACACAAGTTTAATCTGAAGTTACAGTCCTTTCATACTTTGCTGTTGTTGTGAGCCTTCAAGTCTTTTCCGACTTATGGCAACCCTATGGCAACCCTATCATGGAGTTTTCTTGGCAAGATTTATTCACAGGGGGCCTTCCTTTGCCTTCCTCTGAGACTGAGAGAGTGTGACTTCCTCAAGGTTGCCCACTGGGTTGCCACGGCCAAGCAGGGATTCAAACCCTCATCTCCAGAGTCCTAGATTGACACCCAAACCATTACACCACTCTGGCTTTCACACTTACAAAGTTATAAAACTATGATTCGACTCTGCATACCAGGGAATCCTGGGGTTTGTAGTTTGGTCAGGTGAATCCTCAGTGATCCTCCCTAAACTGCCAATCCCGGGAACCCACAGGATGGAACAATGGCAATTAAAGAGGAATCATAGCACTGTAATTGTGTGGTGTGAAACGGCCCACTAGTTGAGAGCATGA